GGGGCTGATCTACGAGGAGACCCGCGGCGTGCTGAAGGTGTTCCTGGAGAACGTGATCCGCGACGCCGTCACCTACACCGAGCACGCCAAGAGGAAGACGGTGACTGCCATGGACGTGGTCTACGCCCTCAAGCGCCAGGGACGCACCCTCTACGGCTTCGGCGGCTAAAATCTTTCGCTCCCAGATCACCTCGAGAAATGAACCCAAAGGCTCTTTTAAGAGCCACCCACTTTTTCCTGTAAGAGAGCTGGGTTAACTTGTTTGATTAGAAAGTGTAATTGAAATGAAGCACGTAATACCTAATTCACAAAGACTATTAATACTAGCAATAGAATATCATTGATAATGCAGTCTGATTACCATGTGTAAAGTGTAACTTCTGTTACCGAGAAAGTGCTTGTCGCCGTGTAAGACGCACTACTTGTGTATTACAAATTCTCTTACAAATGTACCGCAATAAAAATTACTTAGTCTAAACTGAAAGCTCACCTTTTTTCACTATGTTCGCCAACATAACTATTTAAGGTTCAATTTAGTTTTGTACATAAAAAGTTTCTTTTAGGTAGATACTTGCAAACCAAATGGGTAGGGAAAAATAAGAAACCTACTCTAATTTAAACGTGTTCTTCTATTTAAATTTTTAAAAACTTCATTTCCATGTCAGTTGGTTTATTTCTAAAAGCAATCTCAATAAATCTAATATGGTTCTCTAGAGTATTGGTTTGGAAAGATGGGAAGGGCTGGGAGGGAATAAAAGCAAATTTTGGCCCTAGAAACACATTCAAAAGAAAATAATAAATCAAAAGACTTGTGTGAGCACTTTTCATAGGAAGAACACTCCAGTCTGGGGCTCACGTCTAAAATATTTTTGTTTTACTTCCTTCATCAGGGGAAAAGAACGGGATTTCAGCTTTACCTAAAACCTTTGGGAATCATTTGCCACTTGGAAACTATGATAATAAATACTGGTGGGCATATCTGATTTTCTCAAAGCCTTAATAAGTAGGGACAAATTAAATAATAAACTGATACTGTATTCCTTAAGCTTTTGATTTCACTGGAAAAAAACCCCCATCAGGTTAACTGTCTAAATAGTCTCGAAGTCATGATTTTACCTGATGATATACAAGGTCTCTCATTCAGAATTTCCTAGTAAAAATAAAATGAGTGAAAAAGTAGGAAAAAATATAGGTGGAAAACATTAAAATAATATCTCTATTGTTGCAGCTTGTTACATACTTGTTACAACTGCTTACAGCTACGAACTTGCATTATTAGAATATTTGAGTGTTACAGTACAGGCCGGAATATACCTGCCTGTATTTGGAGGTACCGGCCGGTTTTTCCTTTGTGGGACTTTCGGGATAACGTGCCCGTTAACATGAAAACGAGCTGTCTTTGGCACCGAAATAAGTTTTTCCGTTTTTCGTTATCACCCCAGCAGACTGGCAGAGAGGCACAGCAGGCGGAGCAGAGGGGATACGAGCGTAGTGTCTGAAATACCCACCCCGCCCCAGGCCGCGGTCGGGCAGCGCGGCAGTGCCGCCCCGAGCAGGGCCGGGAGAGCGTCCGAGGGGCTGCGGAGCTTCAGGGAGCGGGCTGGGATTGACACGGCAGCCAATGAGAGCGCGCTACCTGTGGTCCAATCACAGACGAGGCGGTTCTATAAATAGGGTCGTTGCAGCCTCCTTTCCCGTCAGCATCTCTTCTTGCTCGAGAGGGTTGCGAGCGGCGAGCCATGGCGCGCACAAAGCAGACGGCGCGTAAGTCGACGGGCGGGAAGGCGCCCCGCAAGCAGCTGGCCACCAAGGCGGCCCGCAAGAGCGCGCCGGCCACGGGCGGCGTGAAGAAGCCGCACCGCTACCGGCCCGGCACGGTGGCGCTGCGCGAGATCCGGCGCTACCAGAAGTCGACGGAGCTACTGATCCGCAAGCTGCCC